TCAGTCATCCATTCCACAGAAGCCTCCCAACTCTTTGAACCTTGCAACGCAGGTGAGCGCTTCTCTTTGCGGCATGCTTCACAGCTTGTGAGCATGTGTTGAACATGTAGTGACCATCAGTGGAATCAGTGGAATTCTAACTACTTTTCAGGGAACCGTTGTCCAGGCTGCATGTTCTTAACATACAAAGATGTACAGAGTAAGGGTTGGCTTGACTGTCCAGCAAAAGCGTGTGAAAGCGTTCATCCTGCCAAACGGCACAATGTCACGCATCAGTGGCGAGTTCTTGATGGTCATATGGTCAGTGTCTACCTTGCAGGATCAGCACCAGCCACAAGAATCCAACAGGTGTTGCAGCATGTTTGTGCCGGTATCCTTTTTGAGTCGGTTCTTCAAAACAGCTCTCTCCTGGCCTCGTGGTAATGAAAATCATCCGGTTCGGCGGTCCATTCCGCCCACTTCTTGAAGCCATCCCGGTCCCAGTTGCAGCCAGATTCTGCTGCACCGGTGATCTTCTTGCGTTGCTCCCACCAGGCACGTTGAGGATGAAGGGCGTCAAGCTCTTCGAAAGCCCGGTCCATGTCCTTAGCAAACGAACCACCAAGAGTGAGAATACATGAATTGACTACCATTCACTAGTCACTATATAGTCACTATTCACATTCACAAAACTGCCAAAGCTCCCTTTTTGGAGAGCAAATTGAAAACCGCCTCTCCAAACAGTTGCTGTCTGAGTATCGACGCTGTGTTGTGCGACAAGCACGTGCAAATCGCAACCAAACTGGTGATACCTATCGCAAGCTCCCAGCACTGCCAACGATGCCCCGTCGAACGGAAAGAGAAATCATGGCTTCGCAATAACATCAAGTGAAGCAAAGTCACGGTTTGCGCTGGGAACCTCGACGAGCATGTTCTTCGAAAAGTCTCAAACCCCGGGACCACTTCCTGAGAGAAAGCCAGATTGAGGCCTCCAACCTACTAGTGATGGCCTTCAACCCTAATAGGAATGGTCTCCACGCTATATAGTAGGAATGGCCTCCAACCCAATAGCGCTGACACAAGACCAGGTAGAGGACTGGCAAGCGTTTCCAGGTGGGAGCCTCTCTGAGACCCTCTCTTTCTCTGCAGTTCTGCACTGCCCCCCCCCTCACGCTGCACGTTTGGTTGAACACCATTGCTAGTTCAGTCACAAGTATACTTGTCCACCCGCACACCCAACTCGAGACACACTGCGGGACAAAGCAGTAGCTGAGTTGTGCTTTTGTGTAGCAAAATGTGCTGGGGTGATCTGTCAATCTGATGCTACAAGGTATCAAGAACCAATGGTGACATACAGCGCAATGTCTACAATTTCTGGAATCTACATGAATCTACCATAAGTTTAGTATATATGTATATATATATATATCCATCTCTTGCTGTTACGGATGTTGGCACAGAAGAGCAAGCCTCCCGCCAGAAACGGGCTTTGCGAGCAAGAAACTGTATCAAAGCCTCAGCGGCCTTGTTCCCTTTTCCTCCCATCTTCTCATACTGCAGTATTGTATCTGGCTGAAACACTTTGTAGAAACCAAGCACGTCCTCACACCTGAGATATCATGGTGCTTCAATGTTGGCGGCTGTTTTGGACAATATCAAAGGGCAAAGGGCCCCGCAAGCAGACGCCAAGGCGCAGCAACCTGTAACCATCCTCGGACAGAGTTGGTACATTGGGCGGGGGCCCATCATTGGCGAAGACCACCAACGGCTCCAAATTCAATTCCTGGTAGCAGTCATGGTGCCGGAAGTCTGAAGGTCTTCATACCGGCAATTCTCTATCCTATGACCAAAAATCTGACTCCGACTCTGCTCTCAGGTTGATTTTGGATTTGGTGCAAACATGTGCAAACATGTCTGTCTCGGTTCTCCACACTCCAAAGCTCGGTTCTCCTGCTTCAAGCGGTGGGCCAGCAAGGCCATGAACTGTCCGCCAACTCCATGAGATAAGAATCCAAATGGGGCGCCTTCAGACACCCCGCCAGAGGCATGAGTCCTTGACGCTCACTCGACATCCGATGAAAGCACGGAGCGATCGGTCGAAACCGCATAGAAACGAGCTCCGCTTGAATCCACCACCTACGGTATGTACCGAGTGACAAAGGGCATCGCTACGAACGCAGCGATCGGCCGCCGATCGGCCGCCGATCGTATGTCGCTGTGCCAAGGTGCTCAAAGGCAGGACGCATGACCCGAAAGGCATCCTCTGCACGCTCTTCCAGGCTCCGATCCCAAGCTTCATCGGGACGAAAGCCATGGGCACGCGGCTCCTAAAGTCACGTTCAAACGGTCGAGGACATTTCCCCAGTTCCCACGGGATCCAAGCGGCATAAACTGCGACTTCACACCATGGTGGTGCTGAAGTTGCAAGTTCCAACCACAACCTTGGACTTGACAATTCCGAACAGGCAGTCGCTGCCTTCCTCTCCTTTTGATGGCTTGACCGTGGAACTTTCGACTTAGAGTGACAGCTTCAAAGTAATGACCCACTGGCGTTGCCACTGGCACTTGGCAACACATGCGCCGTGGGGTGGGTTTGCGGGGCAGTTGCGGATGGCCAACAATCATCAAACGGCCAAATGCTGCCTGGGTACATGTAGTTATCAGCTGCCCCAGGGAAACAGTAGAGTCGAATCATTGGCTTCCGGGACTTTTCGGGGAACTGCTTCTTGGCCTGAGAGGATCAGGTCTTCTTGGCCATCGCTGTTAGCTTCCTTTAGACGTCTTGGTTTCTTAACGTCGTACCTTGTCCGGGAGAGCTGCCCAGGTAGGAAGCCCAATGGTCCGTGGCATCACGGGCAACTGGCCCCCTTGGCGGCAGGGAGCGCGAGCGCAGGTGCTGGTCTCCACTTCGGAGTGAACTCAACACCGTGTCAGAGGTAACAGGTAAAACGTGAGTAAAACATATTCTGCGCCCCGTTTTTGCCAAAAAACAGTAAGGCACATTCAGCGCTTGAATCGGTGAATCCCAGGTCCTGACTCTCCAACAGCTCGGATTCTGGGTCGAATGGTTAGTGCCTCCAAATCGCCCAGGTAGTCACCAGGAGCTTCCTTCGCTGAGCCCTGGTGCAGATGCGCGGGTTCAACGTGAGGAAGGTTGACTTCTGAATCAAATCAACTGCTCAGCGGCCCTAATAGCGATGGCCTCCAACCTGCTTAGCGATGGCCTGGACCCTAAGAGCGGAGCCTTGCATGCCAAGAATTCATCCAGAAGGTCAAGCTTTACCTGGTCTCTCGTCCGGCCGACCGCGACAGAAAGCACAGCGTGTAGGACATCCTGTGTGAACACTAAATTTGAATGATAACAAACGCTGCTGAAAGGCAAGCACCTTTTGGAAGACACCTTCGGGTATCTGCTCGAGTTGAGGGAGAGAAGAATCTGATACGAAACTCGATTTCGGTTTGGCCCGCCCACTCTCAGAATAGATAAAAATGGAAGATTTCTCGTCGGTAGAATGCACTCGTGAGCTGATACATGGTGATTTGCATGATGCAAGACAGTGCTATTTGACGTTTAGGTGTCAGGTGTGTGAAGTGGTTAGTGATATGTCGCTGGTTGATTTCATCGAAAATAATGTAGAGTTGCGTGGTGAAGTCTCGTGTTGGTGGCCTGCATGAGGCGAAAAGGGGCTCAGGGTGAGGAGGACGAGGAGAAAAGAAGGGAGGTGGATACCTGGCCAGAGAGGAAGTATTAGTGACCTACCGGCCAAGAGTTTGTGGGTCCTTCCGGATGAATTTCATGACTTCGTGTCTGTTCTTGTGGTGGGTTTTGACGACGTTGAACAAGGGAAGGACTACAACCCGGCCACCGTGCAAGCCTTTAATTCACCTACTAGCGATGGCCTCCACCCAAATAGCGATGGCCTCCAACCTAATTGCGATGGCCTCCAACCAAATTGCAATGGCCTCCAACCTCATTGC